CATGATAACTGGCAACCTAGGCACCGGAACATTGAATGGCCGAAGGATCACAAAGATGCTGGAACCAGGGAGACGATGATCACGCGATTCTCCAGGCGTTCGATCAGAATCTCTGTCTAACTGTGTGGTTCATTTAGCTTGGGCCTTCGACAGAGAGATCATAGGACAGTTCATTGGTGATATTAACAGATTTTTATCATCTGCGTTTGCCTGTAGTGCACCATGCCGACTGGTACAACAGGATTACACAGTTTCATGTAAGATAAATTGAGACAGCAGTGACACCCAGTAAACTCTGTCTGGTTGTTATACTGCACAGTTTAGGTGATGACTAATTAGAGCTTTACCTCTGAACGAGATTGGATTTGCATTGAAAACAACGGTTAATCGATAAGTCGACACTCAATTACAGTTGTCCCTTGGGTTTACATAGATCTGCTCGAGAGAAGAGTGAATTGGAATAAGGTCAAGTTTCGTCTCGGGCGAACTGCTATCCTGCACCAGATAGATTATGACCACCTTCCATCTAGTATTCCTAGTAATCACATAAGAGGAAGTCGCCCCAAGGTAACATGTTTACCATTAAATTTGAATAATCATGTTTCACGTTAGGAAACGATGAACTCAATCGGAATGTTTGCATCTCGCAACTTCTGTTGCCTGTTAATGCACGTGGTATTGGGTGAGCGGAGCACAGTGTTTCAAAATAGAATGTAATCAGTTCGGGCATATAGAGAATAACACACTTATAATGAAAGTTAATAGCAATTCATAACACATGGGGAAAGCCCTGTGTATAGTCATTGACACTGAGGATTTATATCAGTTTGTTTAATTCCAAAATTTTAGGGCAAATAATATCTAAGTATGTTTGTGATACTTAAATCAAGTCGAGCACCTTCCGGTCATTCAGTTCTCAAATGCTCAGAGAGAACACTAAAAGCTTATTTTTATCCAGAGTCAAAATTGAAATCAAAATGTGCTCGCGTATATTTATGGAATAATTATCTAGACAGTTGACATTGTGTGAAAACGAATCCAACCACGGATGGCACACACCAAAACAAATGAGTACATTGTTTTCAACATGATCCGAAGATGAATGTGCATTACCGAGCAGGAGTTTCTCTCTTACTTCGCCTGCTGCTTTGTTTGTCAACAGTAACACAACGGGCCTGATATTCGATCAGTGTGCCTGGTTGACCAATCGGTGGAGAAAACAGTGTACTCAAAGACTAGTCATGACAACATTCATTGACCGTTATGTGTTAACCATGAACATTGTCTTCAGGGTGATTAACAAAGAAGGAATAACAAGACCCAAGATTCTCCTAGAC